TATACAAATTCTTGGTTAAGTTAGTGTTTACATTATTTTGACTACATAAATATTGCTCACTGCTGAGCTGAGTAATTTACCTTGTTTCCATGCCCACCTGCCCCCACCATTTGCTTATTTTTCCATGAACATATTACTGACTTTTACCAAATGCTTTGAAAGACCTGTGGGGATTGGGCCCCAGGAAACTAATGCAGGGTGTTACTCTGGCCACCGCTGTTGCTGTGCGTGATGAGTTGTTTTTGTCTGTGTCCCAGAGGCTTCTCATCTTCGTTGCCTTTGTTATTAGCATGCACACAAGGTAAGGTAACTCTCAGGCCCTGCACAGTTTCTGACTTGGCAGGAACATCCCTCTGTTTTGTTTGTGCTATCTTTTTAGAACTCCTGTAATTGTTAAGACCTTCTAAATAGGTCTTCTAATGTTCAGTCTCCTGTTTTCCATCTGTTTGTCTTCTTTTTTAAAATTTATTATGGCAGTTTCCTTGGCCTCCTTTCTATTGAATTTTTTATCTTATTTTTAATTTCAAGTGTCATTCCTTTTTTAAAAAAATATTTTTATTGATTTCAGAGAGAGGAAGGTAGATGGCAAGAGAGATAGAAACATCAGTAATGAGAGAGAATCATTGATTGGCTGCCTCCTGCACACCCCACACTGGGGATCTAGCCTGCAACCCTGGCATGTGCCCTAACTGGGAATTGAACTGTGACCTCATGGTTCATAGGTTGACGTTCAACCACTGAGCCACCGTGGCTGGGCTGTGAATGCTTTTTAGAAAATCCAGATGCCTGGGTCCTACCCTGATATTCTGAATTTTTTGAGGCCCAGGCATTTGTATTTTTAGCCACATGCTTCTCAGGTGTTTTTCATGTACATTTAAGTTTGAGAGCTACTGGTTTGGATGGTAGTTGGAAAGTGATCTTTCAGACTGTGGAGGGCCTTGAATGTCAGACAGTTGAGGAATCATTGAATGTTTTTGAGCTGTTGAGTGAAATGACGAAAGTGGTTATTTTACTAATATTAAAAATAAATTGTTTTTGACCTTTTATTTGGCTAATCATACACTGTGCCAGGTTGTTGTTTTTTAATCCTTACCCGAGGACATGCTTAGAGGAAGGAAGAGAGAGAGAGAGAGAGAGAGAGCGAGAGAGCGAGAGAGAGAAAAACATCTTTCTGAGAGAGAAGCATTGATTGGTTGCCTCTGTATTCACGTTGGCGCAACCCAATGTGCCCTGACCGGGAATTGAGCCCGAGACCCTTCGGTGCATGAGCTGACACACTAACCACTTAGCCCAGTGGTTCTCAACCTTCCTAATGCCGTGACCCTTTAATACAGTTCCTCATGTTGTGGTGACCCCCAATTTCAATGTTACAAATTGAACATAATTAAAGCATAGTGATTAATCACAAAAACAATATGTAATTACATATGTGTTTTCCGATGGTCTTAGGCGACCCCTGTGAAAGGGTCCTTCGACCCCCAAAGGGGTCGCGACCCACAGGTTGAGAACCGCTGACTTAGCCACACTGGCCTGGGCTGAGTGCATTGTATGGATCATCTTGCTTCATCCTATAATATCTTATGAGTTGTAAGTATTGTTGTTTTTCCCATAATGCAGTGAGGTTTTATAAGTTGTAAATGGAGATTCAGACTGATTCTTATACAGACTTAACAGAATCTAGCTCACACTAGAACCTTTCTTCATTGCAATGCTGGACTGAATTTCCTGTTTCTTTTAAGGATTAATGCAGTAGTGGAGTGCGAACAGTGAGTCTAAGTGGAAAGATTGGAAGTAAAGACACCTGGATATTGTTGCACTAAGTCATGTGAGATTATAGAAGCCTGGTCTAGCATGGAGGCAGTGGGAATATAAAGGAAGAGATGGATTTGAAAGACGCTATGTAGCACTGTGGATGTTGTGGAAGAACCCACAGGACTTGTTGATGTCATTGGAGTCACCCTATAGCAGTGATGGTGAACCTTTTGAGCTCGGCGTGTCAGCATTTTGAAAAACCCTAACTTAACTCTGGTGCCGTGTCACATATAGAAATTTTTTGGTATTTGCAACCATAGTAAAACAAAGACTTATATTTTTGATATTTATTTTATATATTTAAATGCCATTTAACAAAGAAAAATCAACCAAAAAAATGAGTTCGTGTGTCACCTCTGACACGTGTGTCATAGGTTTGCCATCACTGCCCTATAGTGTAGTAAAGACCAGGGATTCTGGAATGAGATGACCTGGGTTCAAATCCTGGCTCTGCCACTTATGACCTCTGGGGCCTTGGGGAAGTTACTTAACCCTTCTGTACCTTAGCTTCCTCATCTGTAAAATGAGAACATTATGACCACCTCTTAGAGTTGTTCATAGGGACGAAATGAAGCAGTAATTATACAGCACTTAGCCTAGTTTCTGACATAGATCTGGCCGAGTAAAAGTACCATTGCACATACTGTTCCCTCTGTCTCAGATGCTCCTGTGTGTTTTCATAGCTTTTTGTGTATAAATAACTCCATTGTGATACATACCATATGTGTTAAATAGGCTTTGGGTTCATGAATGGCAAGGAACTTGGTCTTAATCATTTTTACATGTTCAGTTTCCAGCATAACACCTGACATTTATAGGACGTGTGTAATAGGTATTTATGGAATGAATGGTTGGTTATGTGAGTGAGAATTTGAGGAAAAAAGGCTTGGAGGGGTTGCTTATTTTGGGGGGCAATGTTAAAATCTGTTTTAAAATTTATGATGATATTAAGACATCAAATTGAAATGGCCATTAAGTAAAGATTTATGCTTGGATTTTGACTGAGAAGTCAGGATAAAATATTAGTTCTGGGGTCACTCACATAGAGGTTAAAACACAAGCCAGAGCACATTCAGATCCTTCCTGAAGGAGAGAAGGTAAAGAGAGTACAATCCACTTATTTAACAACAATAATTTTTTTTTACTTTAAATTATTAATTAGGAACTAGAGGCCCGGTGCAGAAAAATTTGTGCACTGGGGGGGGGGGTCCCCTCAGCCTGGCCTGTGCCCTCTCACAGTCTGGGACCCCTCGGGGGATGACCACCTGCTGGTTTAGGCTCGCTCCCTGGGGAATTGGGCCTAAGCTGGCAGTCAGACATCACTCTGGCAGCCCGGGAGCCCTCGGGTGATGTCCACTTGTCAGCGGGGAGCAGGCCTAAGCTGCAGTCGGACATCCTTAGCGCTGCTGAGGAGGCGGGAGAGGCTCCTACCACCACCGCTGTACTGGCAGCTGTCAGCTTGGCTTGTGGCTGAGCAGAGCTCCCCCTGTGGGAGTGCACTGACCACCAGGGGGCAGCTCCTGCATTGAGCGTCTGCCCCCTGGTGGTCAGTGTGTGTCATAGTGACCAGTCATTCCCAGTCTTTCTGATATTAGGGTCAGTTTGCATATTACCCTTTTATTATATAGGATAATCTACCTCAGGAGATATGTCATATATACTACAGAAAAATCACATTCCAGGGTAGTTTTTACATAATGAGAACTTCAGGGGAGTAGTGGAAGTTGAGAGGGCAAACTGGTTTTGAGAGGGAGGATGGAATCAGTTTTGCACACACATGTTCTTGACTACATTGCATTAAAATAGGGTCTTTTGAATCCCTGGCTGGGTTGCTCAGTTGGTTAGAGCATATACACTCATGTTGTGGTTCGATCCCTGGTCAGGACACATGCAAGAGTTAACCACTGGGTACATAGATAAGTGGAACAACAAATTGATGTTTCTCTCATCTCTCTCTACTCCCTTCTCTTCCTCTCTCTAAAATCAATAAATAAAAATTTAGAAAAACAGGTCCTTTGAAAGGTTTACTTCTAATGGCATAAGCCATAGCATACTTCTTGTTTTTAGTATAGACTTATGTGAGGGGCATTGTTACCCACAAAATTATTGCTTATATGTTACAGAATTAAAATATGTTATCCTTGAGTTTAAAAAAATCTTCAGTATCTTAGGGATCTAGGTAGAACTGGCATTCTGGTCAGAAGTTGGGACTAGGAGAGGTTTGAGAGTAACATGGAAGCCACTAGTGAAACCAGGAGAAGAAAGGCTCAGTTACTGACAAATGGAGAGAAAGAAGAGCTGAGAGCCTAGGAAGTCTTGAGGCACAGCAAGAGGGAAAAGCAATAGGACTCTTAGGAGGCGAGCTGATTGGATACAGGGTTTTTCTTTTTCTTTTCTTTTTAAAATATATTTTATTGATATTTTACAGAGAGGAAGGGAGAGGGATAGAGAGTTAGAAACATCCATGAGAGAGAAACATCCATCAGCTGCCTCCTGCACACCCCCTACTGGGGATGTGCCCGCAACCAAGGTACATGCCCTTGACCGGAATCGAACCTGGGACTCTTCAGTCCACAGGCCAACGCTCTAGCCACTGAGCCAAACTGGTCAGGGCTATAACAAAATTTTTGATATCCATTTATTTACTGATGGACATTTGGGTTGCTTCCATAATCCTATAATTATTTTGAAGAGACAAAAATGATATGAGATAAAAATGTAAGTATTAAATAAAAGGGGATGCTTTATGATCCTTGGCAGAAGAGATGCCAGTGGACCTCAGTTCTCTGCTTTGCTTTCTGTGAGGGTGGGGAGCAGGTGGACTTTCTGACAGGGGTACTTCAGTGGCTAGTCTTCGCTTGTTCCTTGGGCATTTCAGCTGCTTCGGGCACTGCCTTCACTCTGCTCAGCAGATAGTACCCTGTTGTTGCTGCCTAGGGGCGTGAGGTACGCCCATTCTAAGATCTACAAGTATAGATTCTGACTTTTGTGTTTGTGTTGGTTAAGACAGATGTTAGCTCCATTTTTCTCCTTGTAACTTTGTATCTGATGTCTCATATATTTAAAAATAAAGAAAGGTTCTGATTTCCTCTAGTATGTTTACAGTTTTTTTACATTTAGGTCAAGGGGAAGGAAAAGTTTGAGGATTATTTTGAATAAGTTTGAAATTTCTTTTCATTTTTTTCTAGGTTGTCTTTTGGAAATGAAGGTTTAAGGGCAAGTTGTCTACCAGATTAGAAGATGGGATCAAACAGCAGCAGAATTGGTGATCTTCCTAAAAATGAGTACTTAAAAAAGTTATCAGGCACAGAATCTGTCTCTGAGAATGACCCGTTCTGGAATCAGCTTCTCTCATTTTCTTTCCCTGCACCAACCAGCAGGTAAGAGATCACTTGGAGATTAAAATTTGTATAGAGGGCCACATACATTTGTGTGGTATGCTCAGTTAAAAAAAATTTTTTTTAATGTCTCTTTGTCCATTTATCCATCCATCTATCCATCCATTATCTGCCTGTCTGTTTATCATACATGTACCAGTAGAAAATCCAAAAGGTAGAAAAGTAGGAAGTAAGTTTTTCTTTCTTTTCTTCCACTCAACCAACAACCACCTCCCTTCCCCAGAGATGATTCCTGGTAGCAGTTTTTTTTTTTAATCCTTCTAAAGATAGTACAAGGTTATTTAAGCATATATCTCATATAGTTTTGCAAAATTGTTTAAACACAAGTGGTAGCATACTACACATATCTTGCTTTTTCTTTTTTTGCTTGCTATCTCTGGCTTTTTCTTCCCATTTAATTAAAATATATCTAAGCATATATGCAACTGCCTTTTTCTTTTAAATGTCTGCAGAATATTTATAGAATATAATCAGTTTTCTCTTGGTGGACATTTACGTAGATTGTTTCCAGTCTTCTGCTGTAACACATAATGCTACATACATTATTTCTCATGCATACAAATATATCTCTAGTTTAGAAAGTAAAAATGCTGGGTCAGACTGCATATGCAGTTGTTATCTTGGTAGATATTGCCAAACTGTGCTCCATGGAAGTTGTAACAATTTATACTACTGCCAGCAATGTGTGAGAAGGTAAATTTCCGCACACCTTTGTCAATTTAATGCATTTTTAGACTTTTTGACCTTTGTCAGTTTGATAGGTGAAAACCAATATTTCACGTTTAAACTGATTCCTGAGCCAGAGGAAAGGGGGCTTGGGAATAGGAGAGGACTGGTCCAGGTAGGGAACAGCATAAGGAAAGCCCAGTGGTGAGGAATGACATGTCAAGTGTGCGAAACTTAAGAGGAGTGGTGAGGGAGGAGGTTTGGAAGATTTGAGGGTTCTGGTGAAAAATATTAATGAGTTTTGATTTTGTCCTAATATCAGTAGAAACCATGGAAAGATTTTCATCAGAAAGGGCATGATCAGATTTTCACTTTTTTTGATATTCTAATTGTATAATATTGTGGTAATCACTCCATCATTCAGCAGAAATTATTACTTCCTGACTTGTTTTGTTTTTTTAAAATAATTCAGTTATAAAATCAGATATACAAATTCCAGCCATATTCTAGATATGCAAGTAAAAAATCAGAGGGTACATGGAGACTGTGTGGGATAGGCAGGATTTCAGGATTCTGGAAAATATTTTGGAGGGGTTGCAATATGAACAGAGCCCCAAAGAAGGTGGATGACTTAGAAGCAGAGCAAGCAAGAAGGAGAATTCTGACATTTTTATTTTATTTTATATTTTATTT